TTTTGTTTGGGCTTTTTGTTTTCTTTTTGTTTTGTTTTGTTTTTTGTTGTTGCTGTTTTGTTTGTATTTTTTTGGTTTTTTTTGTTTTTTTTTTTCTTTTTTTCTCTCCCCCCCACACTCCGTTTTGGGGGTCCCTCTCAAACACTGAATAAATGAACTGCATTTGTGCTCCTGACTTTGTCTCTGTTTTTGGGGGGGTCTGAGTGTCCCCCCCGCCCAGGATTTGGGGACACCCCAGACCCCTGGGAATGCCCCAAAATCGGGGGGAAGGATTTGAGCTCAGAGAGGAGACCATGACACCCCAAAATGAGGGGGTTTGTACCGGGGGGCCTCGGGGAGGGGGGGGGGGTCACCAAGGGGGTGTTGAGGGCTCGAACAGGACCCCAAAAATGGGGGCTGAGATCCCATGGGTGCTCCAGTGAGATCAGGAACCCCAAAATCAAGGGCTGGGGTCACCCTGGGGGTCGAGAAAGGGGGAAAGGTCTCCAATGCGGGAGGAGCTCTGAGCGATTTTGGGGGTCCCCGAAGGGTTCGGGGAGGGGTCTCTGCGTGGGGGGAGAGGGGGATTCATATTTGGGCACTGCCCCTTTAAGCGGGGCCCGCCCATTCCCGCCTCCCCGTTGCCCCGGTAACCACCCCTGACCGGAAGTGCTGCACCGGAAGCGGAAGCGGCGCCATGAAGCTCCTGACCCACAACCTGCTGAGCTCCCACGTGCCGGGGCTGCGGCCCGGGGGCGGCTTCCCCCTGCGCATCGAGGTGCGGGGGCGCGGGGGGACCCCCGGGATTCCGGGAATGGGGGGGAGGGGGGACACTGCGCTTCCCCTCCCCCCCCCGGGATGGCCCCCCCCCCTTTCCCCTCAGAACCGCCGGGTTCCGGCCGGTGCCGCCTCGTGATCCTCCCGTCACCCCCGGCAATGCCAACAACCCCCGAAATCCGCATTCATTTCTCCCGTTACCCCCAATAAATCCCCCGGTTCGTCCCCCGTGAGCTGCCCCATTCCCGGCTTGTTAATCCCATTAAACCTCCCGTTATCCCAGTTCCCTTCCCGTTATCCCAGTTCCCTCCCTTCATTATCCCAGTTCCCCTCCCGTTATCCCAGTTCCCTTCCCGTTATCCCAGTTCCCCTCCCGTTATCCCAGTTCTCCCCGTTCCCCCCAGGCCGCCGCGGTTCGGCTCCCGCCGGTTCCGTTAATTGCCCGTTAATTAACGCCCCTCGTTACCCTCCCGTTAATTGCCCGATTTCCGCGTCCATTCCCCCTTTTCTCTCATTAAACCCCGCCCAGCCCCGGTAAAACTGCCCCGTTTCCCTGGCGCTAATTCCGTTATCTCCCAGTAACTCCTCCGGTTACCGCCCTTAATTCCCGTCAAAACTCCCGTTAATCCCCTGTTAATTCCCTCGTTAATCGCCAATTAACCCCTCATTAATCACACGGTAAAATTCTCGTTAATTCCCTCGTTAATCGCCAATTAACCCCTCATTAATCACACGGTAAAATTCTCGTTAATCGCCAATTAACGCCCGTTATCTCCCCCGGTTCCCCGCAGGCCGCCGAGGTTCGGGTCCGCCCGGTTCCGTTCAACGCCGCCTTCGTGTCCCGCCTGGTGCCGCGGCTGCGCTGGGACGCGCTGCGGGAGGCGGCGGAGAGCGTGAGCGGGGGGACCGGGAAAACCGGGAAAACCGGGAGGGGGACCGGGAAAACCGGGAGGGGGACCGGGAAAACCGGGAGAGGGACCGGGAGAACCGGGAGAGGGACCGGGAAAACCGGGGGAGGGACCGGGAAAACCGGGAGAGGGACCGGGAGACGGGAGGAGTTGGTTTGGAGGGGATTTAGGGGGTCTAGGAGTGAATTTGGAGGGGATTTTAAGGGTCTGGGGGAGGGAATTTGTGGATTCTGGGGGTCTGGAGGGAATTTGGGGGCACCAGGGGAAGGGGGGTTTGGAAGGGCTCAGCCTGGGGGGATTTGGGAGTTTTTTTGGGGGGCGCAGGAGTCTCAGATTTGGGGGGCGGGGGGTCCTGGGGGTTCCAGTCTGGTTTTGGGGGCGCCGGGTTTGGGATGGGCTTAGAGAGGCACAGGCTGGGATTTGAGTTTGGGGGAAACTTCTGGAATTTTTTGGGGTGGTCCCCAACCCATTTCTGACCCCAAATTTCTGCCCCCCCTCCCCCAAAAGCTGGGGCACCCCTCGGAGCTGCCCCCCGAGCCCATCCCCAACTACGAGGGGGACGAGGAATTCCTGCGGCGCCTGCACCACGTCCTGCTCGAGGTCAGGGGGGTCCCCAAACCTCGGGGGGGGTCCCCAAACCTCGGGGACCCCCCCTTGACCCCCCAATTTCCCCCCCCGCAGGTGGAGGTGCTGGAGGGGGCCCTGCAGTGCCCGGACTCGGGGCGCCGCTTCCCCATCTCCAAGGGGGTCCCCAACATGCTCCTGACGGAGGACGAGGCCTGAGGGGGGGTCAGGACCCCCAAATTCATCCCCAAAAACGGGGCTGAGACCCTGCCCCTGTTCAGGATTTTGGGGAGTGCGGGAAAACCCCGAAATCCCGCGGGAAAACCCCGAATTCCCGCGGGTGCACCCCAAAAACGGGGCCCAAATTTCACCCCCCCCCCAAAAGCTGGGATGGGCGTGGCCTGATCGCTTCATTTGCATGTGGGTGTGGTCGGCAACGCCCATCTCTATGCAAATTAGGGCTTTGTTGTTTCCATATTGGGCGGGAAATTCCTTTTTTTCCCCCCAAATTTCTCTTTCTTCTCCCTAAATTTCCCCTTCCTTCCCATATTTCCCGGTTTTGCCCCAAATATTTTTATTTTCTCGAAATGTCACCGTTATTTTATCCCCAAATCCTTTATTTTATCTCAGAATCCTCCGGTTTTGCCTTCAGATTCCTCTCCTTTGTCCCAGTTCCCTCTTTTGTGCCCCCAAATCCAGAATTTCCCCCAAAATCTCATCTCTCTGCCCTAAATTTTTTATATTTTCCTGCCAAATCCGCCTTTGTGCCCCAATTGCCTTCCTTTTGCCCCCATATCTTTCATTTCTATTCCAAAACTATTCTTCCCAAATCTCTCTTTAATTTCTCGCTGTTTTCCCTTTGTTTCTCTTCCCGACATCCTGACCTGTTCCGTTTTAGTTTTTTTCCCGTCCATTCAATAAAAATCCCATTTTTTAACCCCGTATTTGCCCAGAATCGCCGCTCTTGTTCTCTCTGAGGATCCTCTCGCCAGAATCCGCTGGGATGGGGAGCACGGGAGGGATTTTGGGGAGAACCTGGAGGCATCCAGGTGAGGGGTGGGGGCCTGGAGGGAGCTGGAGACGCTCTCCGGGAATTCGGGAGGCTGCGGGACGAACCTGGAGGCGATTCCGGGGCTCCCACGAGCACCTGGAGGCGATTCCGGGGCTCCCACGAGCACCTGGAGGCGATTCCCAAAATCCCGGAGCACCTGGGAGGACCCGGGAGGGCCCTGGGAGGACCCGGCCCCTCTCTATGATCCCAGAGCGCCCCCGCGCGGCCGCTCCGCGCTCTCTCCTCTGTGGTTGCCGCGCGCGCCCCGCGGAGGTGACGTCAGCAGCAGGCGCCGCCGGAAGTGACGTCAGTGCGTAGCGGCAGCGGCCTGAGGCGGGAGCGGCGGTTGGAGCGGCCCGAGGGGACGGTGAGGCCGGGGATGAACGGGAGGGGAGCGGGAGGGGACAGAAGGGACCGGGAGGGGACCTGGAGGGGCCGGGGG